ATATGGCGTGCGATAGTTAATGCCCGACAGTACCAAGTTTTTCAGCGGAATGGATTTTCGATTTTGATTTTACGTTTCCATTTCGGGTCTATTCCAGTTAGGGGGGGCATCATGATGCAGTTTCTCGGCGAACTAGTGTGAACTCGAACATTCCAGCTTTTCACGCATGTCAAGTGACTGCCCTCACCCCCCCCCCCCCTAGACTGGCTACACTCCCCCTGGCTCGGAGTTACCCTAGCTTTCTGGAAAAACTGCATCATGATGCCCCCCTAACTGGAATAGACCCTCCATTTCCTTCCATTTGCATCCACCCTGGAGTTTCTCGGAAAATTGGAAAGACGCTACTGCAAGATACGAGGGCGTTGTTAGTGCAATTAGGAACTGCGTAAATATCCCATTTTTGTTCAGAACGGGACTAAGCCCTGGGTAAGGTTGGAGAGGCTTCAGATTTTGCAAGCGACTTTCTGCAATTTTTCTCTAGGTTCCTGCCCGTCCTATGCTTAGTCCTAGAGGATGCCCCCTACCTTGCGATAGCGCCACTGGAAATATCGTAGTGGCACGATCTGTTGCACCACGTAGTTCCTTTATTGGAAAACACCCTCCATTTCTTTTCTCTATGCGGAGCTGTTAAGTGAAAGTGAAATAGGATCGATTTGAATTTTCAACTTGAAGGACCGTTTAGTTCCAAATGTGATTATTCCATACTCCCCCGTGTGGTCGTATTGATCATTGTATAAATAAATAGACGAAAAGAGAAAAAGCTGCCACTTGTGTATATTAAAAAGAATACCCCGCTTTGTTGTTGCTTAGGGTCGAAAAGCAGTTTGTTGGCCATCTCCTTATAAAAAGAACTTGCTGATTGCTTTCAGTGCATCAAAGATGGATTCAATCATGGAAAATCAGAGAAAGCTACACGAGGAACGCGAACGGACGATTGAAACGATTGTGAAGGAAATCATGAGCGACAAGAAAACTCACAAAGCCAATATTAATTCCCAACAACGCGTGAAGCAGCTTGTCGACGTGAGTAAAATCAACAGCCTTAGGAATGTTCATTGCATAATTCTTGTAGTTCATGGAAATGTTTTTTTTTCTGAAAGCAGTCATTCGAGAATAAATAAGTGCGTTTCTTTGAGTTTGAGGTAACTCACTTTAGTTGCATCTGACAATGAGTTCAACTTCAAACGACTTCTGAGGTCACGTGCATTACATAGTGCATGGAGGCTAGACCAATTTATTTTTCGAATATCTGTGTGAAGAACATAACATTATTTCTCATTCGACTCATGAAATTTTTTGTAGCTGTAAGAGCACTATTAATCTTTCAGGATTACTTGAAGAGCTCTAACATAGGGCCGTAATATGAAATCACCAGGCAATTGATTCTTGAACATACTTATTGTGTACCTTGAATTACAGCTGAAACTCGACAGCTTTGTTGCGGTTTCACAATCGTAAAGTGTGACATCCTTCTGGGAAATTCTCGGATTTCGAATAACCAGCAGTTTTAGTATGCTTTTATAACTGTACAGCTCTCAAACTGCGCAGATGAAAAGTGTAGCAGGTCCTTTCGTTAGCAATTCCTAATATTGCTATTTCAGAGGTATCACGCCTGCACTGAAAGCCTGGAACGAATGTATACTGACAGTGATGGGGCTCGTAAAAGGGAGATGGATGCAATTGCTGGGCCAAATGAATTCGCGGAATTCTATGCTCGTCTGAAACTTCTTAAGGATGCACATCGTAGAAATCCTGACGAGGTAAGGTTTCTTCTTATTCTGTAGTGAAGGTATCATTAGTTTTCTATGCAAAAGAGCAGATTCTAAAGCTCTGTCAGATTCTTTTCTTTTTCTTCGCCGCATTGCTTTAGTTATATCGGGATCCATGAAAGTTATTTAGCTTGCTGAACCACTTTCAATGGAGTTCCAAAAAATGCACGAGGAAATTGCAGATCCCGAAAGGGAAGAGTATGACATGGTTCAGTTTACTGATGAGGAAGCATATGGAAGGTATTCGAATGATCCGCCATTCTTGATATGACTTTGTTTGAATCCAGCTTGATTTACTATCACAACACTGTATTTCAGGTTTTTGGACATGCATGAGATCCATGCCTTATATCTGAATTTGAAAGCTGTGAAGGTAGGCAATTCCTTTCACGTGTTTTCTTTTAACACTTTCTCCTTACACAAATTTGACTAACGGTGATGTGAAAAGTTTTCGTTAATACTTTCATCAAAGAGTTTTTATTTTCTTCTCCTAATACTTTTAATGTATCCTCTTTAGTTTTCTTTTCGTAGTTCTAATCAACTAATTCCACGCAATTTTTTTTAGAATTTTTTGAATATATTGAAACAGGAGCCATTCACGTACATTACTGTATAGGCTTCTTGTATTTAGCTAATGGATTTATGTTTCATGGTGGAATCTTTTCCTTTTTCTTTCAGAAAATTGATTACATCACGTATCTTGGTCAGTTCGATAGATTCACAGAAATTCCAAGGCAAACGACCAAGAAAACAGGCGCTTATAAAGAGTACTTAAACACTCTCAAGGTATCTTTCCTTTTCCACTATTCTGTTATGGTGTAAAGGTAATATATGATTACAACTGTAACTCAGGAGCCAAATGTTTTAGATAAATCAGGACGGAAATGCAGTTTTTTGTCTGGGTACTTCCATGCAATTTTTTTCATTAGTCAAGTGTGGGACTTAGAGTGTTCTCTGTTCATATGCTAATAAGTTGCAATTCCAGGAATACCTTGTTTACTTCATGGAACGTACCCGTCCTCTTCATAATCTCAAAGAAGATTTCGCCAAGGTGAGCTTATAGTTTTGTTGTCGTAATGCATCACTTCCCCTCCGTCCACAATAAGAAATTTGTAGAGTGACGCAGAAGTCGAACGCCAGCTCGCGGAGGGATCGTTGCCTGGATGGCCGAAACAAACTGCCCCAAAAGAGGTTTATATTCTTGGTATTGATTTGATACTGTGTGATCTATGATTTGTCCTTTCAGGCTTCTATTGATGTTTCTGCCTACAGCAGTCCAGTGGAATTGGAAAGCTTAGGCCTGGATAGACTGAAAGCCGCTCTGATGGCATTAGGCTTAAAGTGTGGAGGGTATGAACTGATTTCTACCACTTTTAAAGAAGTTCTGTGAAGACAGTGTGAATTCGCAATAGAACCCAAGTAACTGTTATTTTTAGAACACTCAAAGAACGTGCTGAGCGTCTGTATGCATCAAAAGGCTTGAGAGCTGGTGATTTAGGAAGGGACGCGCTGGCAAAGAAGACAGATGAAGCTAAAGAACAAGCACGGACTGCAGCGTTGGCGAAACTTGAAGGTCACATAAAGTGGTTAGTTGTTTTTTATTCAATTTCCAGCCAGTAGTTGTAGTAGTCATTTCAATCCATCTAATATTTCTGTCTTTCTCTTGCATACCAATGGGTTTGCGACTATTCTTCCCTTGACGTTGAAAGGTGCAATACTTTTGAATTTTGTATTTTGTCTACTATGCTTCATAAACATAGATGAACACGACTTCAACCTTGATATTGGTATACGGCATACCCACCCCTGAGCCCGAAGTTACTATTCTTCGCGCTGGCGTTTGGCACCGCAGTATCTACAATTTACGCTTAGTGCTTGTAATTAAATTTACTGTATAATAATGCAAGAATTCATCCTTCATCCGTTATTTACGTTCTGCTATTATCTTTTCTTTTCTTTGCGTAAACATTCTTTCTTCAGCATTGGTAATCTTCTCATGGAGGAGCGGGATGCGACGCGCGAGAATGTGGAAAGGAAACAGGCGCGAACCGTCGGGGAAAACGAAGACGACGATGAAGAGCCTCAAGTACGCTTCACTGCAATTCTTTCACTACCATGCTAATACCACGGGTCTCTTCCAGATCGAAAGCGATGAGGAGGAAAACGACGGCGTGCCCTACAACCCCAAAAATCTCCCTCTTGGGTGGGTTTCTCGTTTACGATTTCTTGTTTGACTAATTAGTAACATTGCAGATGCTCCTACTGGAACGAATGGTAAAATCGTAGTAAAACTTCTTCAAGTGACATGGATAAGTACATGTTATGAGGTGAACTGAAAACGTTTTATAGATATTTTTCAGGTGGGATGGAAAGCCGATCCGTACTGGTTATATAAATTGCATGGACTGAATATATCGTATTCATGTGAGATTTGTGGCAATCAGGTGTACAAAGGGCCGAAAGCATTCCAAAAACATTTCAATGTAAGTGTCTTGTTTGTGTTCTTGTGAATGGATCATTTTGCTAACAATAAGCACAGCGTCATGCCAAGAACAACCAACAATTTTATAAGGAGAAAATATCTTATGTGGACTTTTTTTTTTGTATCGTGCTTTTACGGTTCCGTGCTAAGATATCGGTTTTTAGAATAAGCCGCTCATGTCTCATTTAGGAGTGGCGGCACTCTCACGGAAATGCGATGTCTTAGTTATCCCAAAAACTGCTACAACTTCAGCTAAATATGAACTCCCGATCAAAGATGACTACTCGATTTGTGAATAAAATCAAAGGAAATAAGTAGCAGTATTTTTCAACAATATTATATGAAGAAGCAGCGCGCCACCGTATCTTAATAAACTCGAATCAAAAGCTTTTGAGTATTCTTTCGTAATAGAAAAGAGCTTGGGCGGTGTTTTTCTCTCCACATGTATTGCTGGGATTACTTAAAGAATTCCCCCCCCGCCCGGTACGATAAGGAATTTTCGCATCGGGAGAGAACCTGCGCCACACGGAGCAATTACTTGGCTGCCAAGGAAGCGATGTGTGGTCCTCCCACGGCGAAAGGTGCTGTGGTTGCTGAGCAGGACCCGCGTGACGCCCGCCCCCAGTGACGTGAACGCCCACTAGTTTTGTTGATGATCTGGATGGACTGTTTGCTGTTGGCTTTTCATTTTGGATGATCATTTCCCTTCTAGCGGCTGTATCTTCCAACTTGCCCACGTATTGCCTTATCAATCAAAACACTATGCTTGTTGGCATGATGGCGGCTATCGGGGTTAACACGTCCGAACAACGTCGTTCTTTACCGTCGCTCATCCATGATCGAAAATGAAAGGCAATCAAAGGTACATTTTGCTTCTTTTCGGACATTGTTCGTAACTATTGAGACCCTCACGGACCTCTAAACCCCTTTTGAGATCTATCGTAGTCGCTGCCTTTAATCTGAGTTGCTTGTTATGCAAAATGTTGTAGATGTACTCCATTTCCAAAAGGCTAGCTGATGGTTAATTGACCGTTAACATTTCGGTTCCATATCTCATATGCTGCCGTAAGGTCGCAGCCACGCCAGATTTAAGCGATTTTAAAACACGTTCACTAATTTTCGTGCGGTTTGATGCCTGGTCACTTCGAAGGTGGCCGCTAAGTTCTGAATTTTGCTTTTTCTTACAATTGATAGTATCTGTTGTCTGGTTATAGGAACGGCAGAGATGGAATCCCGACAACGACGAAGAGTTCGAAGACTCAGCCGGTAATGTGGTTACACGAAAAATGTATGAAGATCTCAAGAGGCAAGGGCTTTTGTAGTGGTGCCTCCAAATTGAAGCATCATTTGTAATATAATTCTCGTTGGATTTGATGTATTTTTGTTGTGAATGAAATGTAAGAAATTTTTTATTTATTTTTTTGCTTTAACAATTAAATGTTGACCATACCTGAATTATACATTTAAAAAAGTATCTTAGTGATGTTTATCAAAAAGGTAACATCACGAACAGGTTCTGCATTTGGTTTAGTGCTTTACTTTGCTTATAAAAATCCGAGGAATAAGATTACGGGTAGCCCCCAGGAGGCCATCGCGCGGACAACAAGACGAGTCGCTTACGATTGGCGCGTGTGTGCTACGTGGACGTGCAGTGGACACTATTTGTAACTTTAGCAGATTCCTATATACGCGGCGCGATTCTTTGCCTTTGCCTCTTGCCGCGCGACAGGCCTACCTTCCTAAAGTATTACCGTCATAAGTTGCTTCTCCTTTATGATGGGAGCCTGCCGTGGGTAGGCCAGCATTTTTTTGAAATTTTTATAAATAGCTGGCTGAGACTCAAGAGTAATGCACAATTCATTTCTAACGCTCTTATGTCCAATGTTCGGGTCAATTGTTGATACTGGCTGCTCTCAAGGACAGACTGGGATTCAAGAAGTTATCATTTTATACACGATTCGGTTCTGACTAATTATATTGTAAGCGCACCTACGAGCAAGTGCACAGTAATAAATAAAATAAATAAATTACTATCTTCTGCCCGTATCGAGCATCCTTACGGAAATAGCTGGAGATTGCTGAAGGGGAAGTTATCGGACAATTGCGAAATCAGATCCGTATGGTACATGGGAGAATATCAGCCTGTTATTTCTTCCCCAATTCAGCCTTGGAGGGGGGGAGAAGTTACTTGGAGTCGTAGCGGGAGTTAGAAGGTCTCCAGTGTTACGACTGCCTCTGGTCTGCCATTAGTAATTTGTTGTAAAGCAGACTTTGCTTTGCCGTTGTTGAATTATGGCTCCTTAAGTGCATCCGTGACATTAACAAATCAGGCGGAGATTGTGTTGAAGGCATTCACTGTTATACTTTGAGTCCATCAATTTCTAGGAGACGTAAATCGATAAGCGAGCGTTGGATTTAAGCGCTAATAAGAGAAATCAAGGCTGAGGCCAGACTATGGGTTTTCACTTGTGACCCTCTGGCGGCTCTTAATTGTTATTTACAAAAGAGTCGGAGCGGGGAAGTGTCCGACCACCTAATGTAATAAAAAAGTGATACAGCACTCGTAATAATCACACAAATAATAGTGTGCAGAACCTCGCAGATCATTTTCGGAGCAAGGATTTTGAACGTGAACAATTGACCGGAAAGACAAATCATACTGACAATGGCTGAAAATAGCATCAGACATCGTAATTGCAGAGTTGTAGCGAAAACTAGAGCACATTGTTCCACATTTATCTTCTCTTCCAGCCGATTTTCACATTTACAGCTGAAAATTTGAGTTGTATTGCAGTCAACAATACGTTTCAACGAATGATATCATTTAGTGTGTGAAGGTAAAGAGCTTTTGCTTTATTTTTCTGCAGACCCGCTTAGGATTTAACTAATCGTTTATTATACTCTTGTCCGTAAGTGGGCAACAAGAAGTCATGCGTTCTCCATAGTGGTTCAGGACAGGGTCAAGTGTGCGTTGAGGAATCCTCGACACGTCGCAGGGGGGGGGTCGTATTGGCCCGCTGGGAGGAAGGGATCGGGCCGGATTGATGCACCACTGTCGGAGGACAAACATCAGGGATCGAGTCGATGCCATGGAAGGCCAGAGGACTTCCAGTACCAATGCTGTTCCGCCCACATAAAATTTTCGTGATTCAGAGGTGTGCGCGTAGTGATTTTTCACTACCTCAGAGTTTTATCTTTAAACTATCACTAACAAGTCAAAAAATCCAAAATTCGCACGTTTTCCAACGGATATTTTATCTTTCAGGTGAGTCCTCGAATCTCAAGGGATGTGAAGCACACGGCGCATACCAGAGTGGGCCCAGTTAGTTGCGCGCGCTTTAACTACGGCTCTTGAGAGAAAAACTCTCAATTCAGAGAAAAATTAAGAGGATCCTGAAAGGGTCTGTGTGAGATTACATGGAGGAGTACACTATTGAGCAAGAAATGCAGCCTTCAGCGTCAAATTCACAAGCATGTAATCGTTAAAGTTAAGACACGCTAAACAATTTTACACTTCTTGGAAAGAAAAAAGAAAGATTTCGAATCTGCTCCTACTTTAGTGTATAATTGCCCCTGAAAGGAGCTATAGTCGTTGGAGTAGTGCTAATGCAGCGAAAAAGTGACTTTCGGCGGTACTCGGGCAAAAATCCTCAACGTGGCCATTTTTTAAATTGTGGACGTTTTTAGCAGTCCTAGTAACCGTTGAATAGTGCAATTCTTCTAGTTTATGCTGACGTATTTACTTTTCAGATTGGATGGTTTGAACGTAGTTATGGCCTTTGGAAAGCGTAAAAACTCGCACTCATCACAATTTTCCTCGTTAATTTTGCAAAAATCCTCAACGTGGCCATTTTTTAAATAGTGGACATATAAAGCTGCTTTAGCAACCATTTGATAGAGAAAATCTTCTAGTTTTGTCTGACATATTAACTTTCCGGGAATGATGAAAAGGGAGCAAGTTACGGCCTCGGAAAGTGTAAAAACTCGTGCTCATCATGAATTTTCCTCGTTAATCGATCTAAATTTGTTATTTCTTATAAATTTTTGTGATTTCAATACTGGTTAGAAAGAGCTCTTTACAAAACTTCCAAATCTGCTTTCAGATTGAAATTCGTCATATTTGAAGAAAGTTATAATCATTTGAATATTTGTTCAAATTTCAATAGTAGATAAGCTGCCCCACGGCCAACGCCAAAGATCAGTCAGCACGCAGCTGGCTAAGACGGTTAAAAAGCTTCTTTCAACTGAAGGGGGACGTGTAAATTGATAACCGTACTCTGTGTAGTACTGAATTTTGGTAAGTCTTGTGAAGAAAATAAATAAAGAAGAGATTTTGTCATAGTATGCATTTTTAGTGAGTAGTTTGAGGTTTTCTGCTGCTTTTTTCGTTTGCTCGTTTGGTAGGACTCATCAATAATGATTAATTTTTTGACTTTTCACTTTTGTACTTTTTAAAAGAATTTTCGGTTGACGGTGTGATAGCAGGGCTTTTTTATGAACAGTTTTGGGGGAGAATTAGACAACCTTTCCATAGTTCGGCTTTTGAAGAGGGTCGTTTCATGGACTTCGGCCTCTGGCGGAGGGAGGGGGGGTCGTATTTCCAATTTCCCTCAACGCCTCGCTTGACCCTGATTGAGCACGATGCTTGCGTTACCGTATAACACCAAGACACCGGAATCCGAAGTCTCTGAGCTACGTCAGCGGCCGGACGTCAGGAAGAACTTCCGCTTAGCCAAGAAATCGAAGATAGTGCGAAGACCTTGTCAACGATTTGCGTAGGACTGTTGACTGCAGAGGCGTTACCGCTGAATCCCGGACGTCAACTAACACGTCTGCGATCGTCGGCTGGGGTCCGACTTTCTTCACGAAAGCTCTGAACGCAAGGAATGGATACGGTTCGTTTTCCGAGCGAGGCCACTGATTACACTTCATGCATCGAAGACCCATGGATCAGCGGGACGACAAGCGTGATCACAGGTGATCGCTCGCCAGAAAAAAAGGGAAACATGTTCGCATTACTAATGGAGGCAAGAGCAGTGGCAATTGCGTACTTCATGTCAGGAACGATAATATGAAAATAGAGTTCGTGAAGTGGAAGCTAAATTTTCATGACGTGATTGCGGTAGACTATTTGCGGTCGACGAACGAGAAATATTTGTTGTTATGGCTCTAATCTTCAAGGATTTCGTTGTTAGCCATGATCGTGATGTAGCACGACCATGAATCTAAAGGCACGAGTCGGGATCGGATTGATGCGTTATTTTGTTGAAAATTAGGCAAGGGTGCAATGAGGAACATTAGTGAGGAGAAAAAGCAAAAAGCACCATAGAAAACACTAAATTTCCCTTAGAGGCCGGCCGTAGTATGACGGAGAGACACAGCGCTGCGAGGAGAGGGAAAACGCGAGATAGTACGTCGTACGCGAGAGGGCGCAGAGACCACGTATGCCGTGGTTGATAAGGATGGCAGCACGGCAGCACACAAGGCAAGGCCTTAGCGCCGTTGCCTCGCACTTTTGAGTCGCGACAGTGTCGCGCCTCCTGCCTTGAGGACCCCTCTTCTCACTCTAGGAGGGACTGGCTCTTGAGACCTAATCCCGACTCGTGGCTTGAAGAGCGTCATTTTTTAAAGGAAGCGATTACGATAAGGAAGGGCGCATCGGGGAGTATATGCGCCACACGAAGCAGTTACTTGGCTGCCAAGGAAGCGAAGTGTGGCGCTTTCACGACGAAAGGTGCCCTGGTTGCTGAGCAGGACTTCCGAAGCACTCCGCCCCGAAAGCGTTACGCCCACTAGTTCAGTTGGTGACTTGGGCGAGCTGTTTGCTGTTGGCTTTTCATTTTGGAAGATCATTTCCCTTTAGCGGCTGTATCTTCCAACTTGCCCATGTAATGCCTTATCAATCAAAACACTATGCTTGTTGGCATGATGGCGGCTATCGGGGTTAACACGTCCGAACAACGTCGTTCTTTACCGTCGCTCATCCATGGTCGAAAATGAAAGGGCAATCAAAGGGGTACTATTTTGCTTATTTTGACGGATTTCTTGCTTTTTTGCCATTGGCGTACCATTGAGCACCCCACATTCCCTCTAAACCCATTCAGAACCTATCGTAATCGCTGCCTTCAAAGCTAGAGAGTCACTTTAGAGTGGTAGAGGTGAAGCAATCTGGACTTATCAGAGAAGACACGACCAGTCATGTTTATTTGATTGATTATTGGGATATGGCACATTTTACACAAGTGTTGACCAAGCTGGGGGCAAGTGAGAAACAGAGGTACTGGGGTATACA